GACGGCCGCGGGGGTAGCGGGCCTGGCGTCCGCCTGCCCCGCCCCTGTCTCCGCGGCCGCTAGTCATTTCGGGTCTACCCCAGATCGCGTCTGTGAGGTCGCCCTTATTCGACAGCGGGGAAACTGAGGCCCGGAGGGGGGAGGGGGTCTCTCCCAAGGTCACGCAGCTCATCGGCGGCAGGCCGGACCGAGACCAGGGCTTCCAGCGGGTGGCCTTCTTCCCAAAAAGGGGGACTGGAGGGACGACAGATGGACAGGTGGATGGGCGGAGCCCTGACTGCGGGGCCCAGAGGCTCCCGGCCTTGGGTCTTAATGCATCCCTGCTTCTCAGGTCCGCTACGGCTGCCACCGCCCCCCCTGCCGCTCCGGCTGGGGAGGGGGGCCCCCCCGCGCCCCCTCCAAATCTCACCAGTAACAGGAGACTGCAGCAGACCCAGGCTCAAGTGGATGAGGTGAGTGGGGAGAGTCAAAGGCAGTGGGAAGGACCCTGGGGGTTGGCATACAGGTGTGGGGGCCTGTGTTGGGTTGAGGGTATTGACAGTCCACGTCTGTGGGTTCTGGAACAAAGACCATGACCCATCCCTGTCTCCCTTGTCAGAATGCATCTGGAAGGGCACGAGGGTGTTAATCAGCCTTGCCTACCTGGGGTGTGCCAGCCTGGGCAAGTGTGCTCTGGTGATGGACAGACTGCCTGAGGCTCCACAGAGGGTGTTGCTTTGACATCTGAGATGTCTGGCTACCAGCATGCCCCTAATGTGTGCTCCCTGCACGTCCCCAGGTGTGCTAGGCGTGTTCTGTGTGTGTCCTTGGCATGTTAGCCTGGCAGCGTCGGGGTGTATGTTCTGTGTGTGGCAAAAAGGGCACATGTTCAAGGAGTGCCCTCATTGAGGCGGGCCTTGGCACACCCCCTGCCTTGTGGGCCTCTCCCCCAGGTGGTGGACATCATGAGGGTGAACGTGGACAAGGTCCTGGAGCGAGACCAGAAGCTGTCAGAGCTGGACGACCGTGCAGATGCACTCCAGGCCGGGGCCTCTCAGTTTGAAACAAGTGCTGCCAAGCTCAAGCGCAAATACTGGTGGAAAAACCTCAAGGTAAGGATGGGGGCAGACAGGAGGGCAGGTAGGAGGCTTGGTGGGTGAATGGGGCTATCATGGTTTGTCTCACTGACCCTCCCCTGTCACCCCCAGATGATGATCATCTTGGGAGTGATTTGCGCCATCATCCTCATCATCATCATCGGTGAGTGGGGCAGGAATGTCCAGGGCCCTTTCTTTGGAGAGTCTTCCCCAGTGAATTCTGGGTTTTGAAGGTCACTAACCTAGTTTTTACTCTTCAGCACAAAAACACGTATGGCTGCTAATGGCAGTTCTGCTTCACTTAGAGCCAAAAAGCTTGATGATGTTTAGTCTGCAGTTTGCCTGGTTCTAGGCAATTTCTGGGAAGATTTTGGAAACAGGAAGCTGATGTATCCATTGAGACCCCTTTGGGCCTAAGAGCCCAGTCTGGGAACCCTGGAATTGGGGAGAGGGAGAAAGGAAAGGCCCAGGGGCTTGAGAGATCAGAAAGACAACCACCGCATTGTTTGAGGGCTTGTGGTCTCAGAGGCCTGGAGGATTAGGATCTATGGCCCCATGGCCATATCATGGAAGTGAAGGGACCTCAGAACCCACCTGTCCAACCCCTTGTTTTACAGATGGAGAAACTGAGACTAAGAGAGGGGAAGGATGTCAGCCAGCTTGGGGGTGGGGAGGACTGGAGCAGGGCCAGGCCTGACACACTGCTTTCTTTCTTTCTCCCTTCTCCCTCATCCTCTTTCCCTCTCTCCACAGTTTACTTCAGCACTTAAATTCCCGAGGAGTCTGCCCTGCCTAGAGAAGGGCCTCTCCCCCCACCCCTAGCCGTTCCTCCACCTCTCAGCCATATCTTTCAGCCCCCCTCCCCTGGATCCGTGCGTGTGTGTGTCCGTGTGTGTGCCCCCCTGTAAATAACCAGCTGTTATTTATACATATATAATATTATATATATTTGGTCTGTTTGTAGTTTTATTACTAGAAGATTTTTCCGGTTGTCCTTAACACCCCTTCCTGAGGTTCCCATCACCTCTTCTCTCTTTCCCTCTTTCTGTCCTTCCCTTTCCCTCTCTTCCTGACTAGCCCCAAGTCCCTTCATTTGCATCTGCTATGCAATAGTCCCTCTCCTCTCCTTCTGCTTTCCTTGGATTTAGCTGATCCTTCCTCCCGCCCTGGCCTCCCCCTCCTCCTCCCCCTCAGGCACCCTCCCCACCAAAAAACAAAAAGCACCAGTCCAGGCCTCTCTAGATGCATCATCTTTGCATCCATTGCTAGGCTCTGAGACTGGCCCCCTTGGTCCTAAGAATCCCAAGGTCTTTTGGGAGCTTCCAGCATGTTGATTAGCATATCATTCGCATACCAACATCCCTTTTGCTTTTCTTCTTTTTAGTTCTATCACTCATATCTTCTCCTCAACCTATGTTTCTTTTTTACTGAGGAGTTAGTTTTCATTGGTCCTTGTATCACACTTTCATTTGCACGACATTACTTGCAGGTGGTGGGGAGCCTGGGCTTTTGGTGAGCCAGGATGTACTGGCCCCCAGAATTGCCCCTTCCTAGCCCCTCTAGTCCAGTTTACCTCTCCTATCCCTATTTTCCAAGCCTCTTGTATCCTCCTCTCCCTCCCCCCAGCTGGTGTGTAAGTGTCTTGGAGTTCAGTGTGTTATGATGGACCAATAATTCTGCCACTCGGGGTCTCTCCCCACATTCCTGCTCCCCAGTTTTTGTGTGGGGCACTCAACTGACATTCCCAAGGGGTCTCCCTCCCTCCCATTTGCCTGATCCACCTCCTCTTCCCACCAGGAGAGTTGGGGGTTGGCTATAATCTGATCTTTTTTGGGAGGAGTGGCTACCAGTGTGTGTGTGGGGGGTCATCACTGCCTTGGGGAGGAGTGGGGGCAGGGCAGAAAACCCCCTAATTCCTGCCTGAAATCTCTGGCCTCACCCCTGCTGGGGGTTGGACTGTAAACCCTTCTCCCCAATTTGGGGGGTGCTGCCCCCATCACTGCCCAGCTCCTCTGACTGCCCCCCTGAATTTAGGGTGGGGGTACTAGTCACTGCCAATGTGTATATGGGACTTGCTGGAAGATGGGGATCCTTGCCCCCTCCAAGGCTGTTGAGCCCAGAGAGAGCTGTCCCCTCATTGGGTGAAGTGATAGAAGAAAGGTCTGTTGTCTTTTTAAATGGCACAATTTAAGGGGTCTGAGGGTGCAGTCCCTTAACCTGCCACGGGAGGGGGCCCTCAAATTATTTCTTCCTCCCACACTCAAGGTTTTCTGTGTGGAGGGGGAGCAGGGATATATAAGCTGTGGTGTGAAAGGGTAGGAGAGATGCTGGGGGTGGGGGTGCTGTGTTCTAGACCCCCCATATTATCCCAGTGTCCCCTATCCCCCCTTCCCTCACCCCATGCCCCCAATTCTGTGGCGCATCCAGATTGTGAAAATGTACAATAAATGTGTAATGAGTAACCAGGTGGTGTCTGTCCTAAGATCTTTTTTTATGTTTTTTTTTTTTCTGAGTCAAATAAGATCTTTTCTTAACCATCGGGAAGGATATTGGAACTGCAGGTAAAACAGAAAAGTTGAGAAGATAAATTGGGGAAGGGGCTGGGATTTGCAAGAGGTCCTGACCTTGGGCAGTGCAAAGTGTGATGCCCAAAATGGCCACGCGGGGGCACCAGAAGTTGGTAACATCCTGTGACAGGCCCCTGTGTCTCTAGGCCCAGTGAACCCTGCGATCTGGGGTTCCCAGCTACCCTCTCTATGCCTCGTTCGGGGCATGCTCCTGCTTTTGGACTCCTTGTTACCTCTCGATTTAACTCTCATTCCTAGGCCTATAGTAGATGGCCACTTCTGTGAAGCATCTCTTCTCCTTTGTGTCAACCCCCAGAAGGGGTTAGTAAATAGTTGTTGAAATAATTGGCTCAGGGAGATCCAGCTGTGCATGGCAGGGAGCTGGCTATAGATGACTTACTGCCCTGCCCCTGCATTCTGTTTATGATGTATGACTTTAGATTCCACACTGAACGCCTTCAGCCTCCAAGTTCAGGATGCCCCTGATGTGGCACACTATCATCTGTCCCCAGGAGCTTCAACAATGAGTAGAGGGTCCTAGGTGAGCTCTGGAGGGACAGCTTCTCCGGGCTACAGCATGAAAATTCGGCAGTGTGGAAAACCTACACAGTGCTTCCCAAACCTTTTGGCTCCTAAGAACTACGTTTAAAAATAGATCTTTGGGCCTCTTCTCGGGAGATTTTGTCCCAGTGGTTCTTAGGGGCCCAGGTGATTTTTTTTTTTTTATCACACTTGCCCAGGCTGGAGTGCAGTGGCACTCTCAGGGCCACCGCAGCATCGACCTGCTGGGCTCAGGCAATCCTTCTGCCTCAGTCTTCTAAGTAGCTGGAAGTAGCTGGAATTACAGGCACACGCCACCACACCTGGCTAGTGTTTTTGATTTATAGTAGAGACGAGGTCTCACCAATTTGCCCAGGCTGGTCTCGAACTCGAGGGCTCAGGCAATCCTCTCCCTTCGGTCTCCCAGCGGTGAGCCACTGCGCCTGGCTGATTCTTTTTTTTTTTTTCCTTTCTTTTTTTTGAGTTGGAGTCTCACTTCTGTCACCCAGACTGGAGTGCAGTGGCTGTTCCCGGGCTCCGGCGATCCTTCTGCCTCAGCCCTGCAAGTAGCTGGAACTACAGGCGCGCGC